TATATATATATATATATATATATATATATATATATATATATATATATATATATATTGGATTATAGTATCGCAGTTACACATGTTACAGCGTTACGATGGTGTATGAGCTGCACGCGTTTGGCTGGTGTTTGATATTTCCGTCTTTCGGTACGAGAACGAGCTTAAAAATTTTTGCAAAATACAAATCTGCATCGGTCACTGAACACACGCGAATATTGTTGCAATGGAAACGCTTTCTGCAAGCTCTCTTTTGTGATTCGTCGAAAAGATTGAATAGTTCCTATTTTCGTTTGATAACAAAAATGCATTATTTATTTGTAAGTTATTATTGAGACAAGAATCGTTGTACTTAACTTTATAAGATATTTTATTAGCGTTCATTCTTGTGTGATACGCTCGTCCACGGACGAGTACTGTCATTCGAGAACACGCAGCGCACCGACACATGGCCTTCCAGTGGAACTACATTGCAGTTCTGTAAGCTCTACTCTGCTCTCTCTAAAATCTTTCAAGTATAGCCTATACAGAGTTTCCATGGCGATACGGAGAACAAACCGCTGAGAGAAAATAAGACCTGTGTTCTTCGAGACTCGCAGTGGCGCTTTTCGCACCGCGACAAGTCGCGCTTTCTTTCTACCGGATAACACGATCACGCGTTGTTTGGATATTTTTCACCTTGCTCTGTAATTACTGTCAAGTTCTCACCCGAAATACATGTACATATATATTTACAACAGACGCTTAACGATTGTTCTTTACGAGTATATTTTTTTCACGAGCATCACGAGGGCAGAGGACGGTTTATAAAATTTGTCAGAATATTGAGGAATTCGACGGGATTGTCCGCGTGTACCCAATGATTCGCCCCGTTTATATAATGGAATTCCGCCCGATGGAACAGCGTTCTGATCGCGTTGTGATCTTTTAATCGGATATAGTCGCTGTTACCGCCGCCTATGAACAACGTAGGACCCAGGTAGATTTTTCTGCCAACGTTAGGAAACACAGCGATCTGTGTCGAGAACGCCTGCTCCAGCACCGGTAAATTAACTCGCCACTTGTACTTTCCCGAATCTACCTCCACCAGGTTCGCCGCTAAGAACTGCAACAAACATAATGTACTGCGAATGTGGTTCTCTCATAATAATCTTGGATTTAAAGCTCTTGGTTCTTCTTCGCGGTCACTTCGATTTCTGATGTCAGAAATGAAGAAATACATGCCCGAAATTTTTCAGAATGTCATAAAAAGATATATCTGAAAGATGACGCATTCGATTAAGCACATCTCTAAAATACTGCGAATATATTAACGTGACAAAATAATGAGAAATGTAGAAAAAAGAAGGTTCGATATCACATTAATTTTACGTTATTTATTTTAATGATTGTTGAAGCAAAAGAGAAAAGTGTTTCGAGTATTTTAGAAGTGTGCTTAATCGATTGCAAATGTCATTTTTTAGGTATACCTTTTTATTTCAACATATTCTGCAGGAATTTTCGGCATGCATTTCCTTGCTTCTGGCGTCATCAATCAAGAGTTCCGCGGCGAGCTAGGAACCTTAAGAAGAGTTTGGGAACATTACTTGTCGTAACGCGAGGGGTTTGATAAATCTGGCGAACTGCTTGTTCACCATTTGGCGTGCCTTGGATAGATTAGGACTTCCGTCCACGTTTACGGAACGCATTGCTTCGAAGATCGTAGTCATCTGCAGAAGATTAGGACTTGCGCTCACAGGAGACATGTCAACAACTACTAGTTTCTCCACATTGTGTGGATAATTCAAGGCAGTGTACATCATGGCTGAACCGCCCATACTGTGGCCAACCAGAAGAGCTTTCTCCAAGCCTAAATCATGCATAAGATGAATAATATCCTCTGCCATGTCCTTGTAAGACATGTCTGATGTATGTGGAGAATCCCCATGATTCCTGGCATCGACCGCTATGACCTGCGCATTGATTTTCTCATTAAGCTCCATAGTTTATTTGTTGATATTGATTTATTATATGAATTGTCAATAATGGTCTACAAATAAAATATTGTTTTCTCTGAAGAAAATTGCGAGTAATTTCTGTATCTTAAGGTCTGTTCTTTCTAGTTAAACTAAGTATTGTATTTTCCTTCAGAATGGCCATATTCAGTGGAGAAAGCTACTTTGCAACAGTTGTAAAATTTATGAATCTGATTGCATATGTTCTTAATTTTGGCTGAATCTGAGAACATATGTCAGTCAAATTCACAAACTGTATAACAATTGCAAAAGTTTTCTACTGAACACAGTCAGTAAGACAAGTAATTAATTTAGGGTGAAAGAGAAAGAAACAGTATAATACTGATTCAGTTAAACAGAAGAGGCTTTTAGTATGATTTCAATCACGTTTATAAGTTATCAAGAAACTACCTTACGCTTGGTCTTTTCATGAATCGCCTTTGACAATGTATTCCAGTTATTTTTTGAGCCAAATAGACCGTGCATTATTATAATGGGGGGCTGTGAATTCTGTTCATTTTCCTTGATTGATTCGTACGAGGCATAGGCTAGTTTCACTGGAATTCTTAAAAAATAAGGAAAAAGAGAACAGGTTAAGGAGGTTAAAAGCGAAAACACGAATGAATTCGGCATATAATTGAATGAATGCGCACCGTAGCGGGTTACAGTGTAAACATTGGCGATAAGATGAATGTAAATTGTTGGCTGAATAAGACGAACCGATGAGACTTCTCGTGCGGAGGAGCACTGGTACATTTCGACCCATCATCATTAACCCAATTGTAAATCACTCGTATAACTTTGATGGTTTTTATCTCTCGGTCGTAGAGACCTCTAACGTGAACATGATCGCAATTTGCAAATAAATGCCGTCGACTAAAATAAACTTTGTTTCTTTCTCTCTCTCCCTCTTCGTTTGCACGTCTCGAATAAATTTAAAATGTATCCTCCCTAACTTGTACCTCTTCGCGTTCCGCCGGTTTATCAACATCGGATAAAATGCGAGCTTCAATTTGTCGATTGCAGTTTGTGCAATCGACAATCGCGAAATTCTCTAGCAATATTCACAATATTCTACATTTTTATTTGTCATATAAATAATACTTTTAAATAATTGCACGATTAGTTTAAAGCGTAGTGATTGCAATGACAGTTTCTTCTCGATAAAGTTAAAACAGATTTTTTTTTACAAAAATGAGATTATTGTTTATGGCAGATTTTCAAGTGAATTTCAACAAAATAAACTTATTTGATAAAAATAATTGATGTTATTCCTATAAGAATATTACGGGGGAAACAGCAATAAATGAGTAATTTTAAATACGAGCATTTTAACCAGTTTACACGTCTTAATTTATTTTTGACAGCGTCATCACCTGCATACGTGGCGCTGTGGTAGCAATATGCCGCTGTGAAGTGGCAAGTGGTCGAGTACGACATAAGCATATGATTTTTATGATTGTACAGTGAATTTGATAGTAAAAATGAGGTGGCTCGTGCCGTGCATATTATTTATTACTTCCATTGTTGCGTCACATTGTTATGTCATCACCGTGGACGCCCATGCCGAGGAATGTTTCTTCGATAAAGTCGAATTCGGCACCAAGATGGGTTAGTTTCTATTACTTCTACGTTCCATCTTTTTCACTTTTTCTATAATATAAAATCAAACATTTCTACGAGAACTTGAGTGTAAATTATAATTTACATTAATTTCCTACGTCGTCCACATTGTCGATAATCGATAATTGTTATTTTGTAGACTTATTTATTATCAGTTTTGTATCTCACAACACAATTTTTTAAATTAATTTCCATCTGTACAAAATATCCGTCATACATTCCCTCTTTCTGTTGTTACTTACGTATTTTCTATTTTGCTAGTCGTAATTTTGTGTACGATGTTTACAGGCCTCACATTTGAGATCGCAGAAGGTGGATTCCTAGATATAGATGTAAAGATAGTTGGTCCTGATGGTAAAAAGATTTATGAAGGTGAACAAGAGAGCAGTGGGAAATATACATTTGCTGCACATACTCCTGGTGTTTACACGTATTGCTTCAGCAATCAAAAGAGTTCAATGACACCCAAGGTGGTGATGTTCAATATGGACATTGGTGAGAACCGAAAACCAAATGAAGAAACCGCTGGTGCAGAGGGACAAGATGCAGATGGTAATCATGGAAAACTAGATGATATGATCAAAGATCTGAGCACCAGTTTGTGGGGTGTAAAGAACGAACAAGAATATATGCAGGTATTTGATCAAAATTTACTTTAAGTTTGACTTAAAATTGCATAAAATAGACTTAAAACTTATTTTAGTTTTATTAATTAGAATTTGTCTTAAACTCTGACTGAAGCTTACTTTTGTTAATTAAACTGATAATTCACAACAGGAGCACAATTTCACAAAAATGTTCACAATTTCAGGTTCGCGATCGAAATCACAGAGCGATCAATGAGAGTACAAATTTCCGAGTTGTGGTATGGTCGTTTTTCGAAGCCATGGTTCTGGTCCTAGTGACGATAGGACAGATCTTCTACTTGAAACGATTCTTCGAGGTACGAAGAATTGTGTAACCTAGGATATCTAATGACACTCAACTGAATCAATTTTCTATGTAATTAAATCATGTCTAATTATACATTGTATCATTTTTGCGGCAAACATTCTTCACCTTCTCCAAGTGCAATCGAAATTCTGTCATTAGTCATTAAGCGACGATGTTTCCTCTATAAATCCGTAAGATTTCTAATAAACAAAGAATTTGTAACAGTACAAGATATTTAATTGAAAATATCCATTCGATTGTAAATGTCTACCTTAATTGTGTATATTAACGATGAAGATCGAAGAGAAACGTATATCTGTAATAAAAAATAATGTACATACCACTTTCTCTGTATTCGCTGGTGTTGTATTTAAACTGTCGTCGAGTCTAGTGCTGTATTTGTTTTTACGTCTGTGAAACGTAGTGATGCGGCAAAAACACTGCTAAAAATTAATTTTCTCACGAAATGAGAGTTGCGTGTCTCCGCGCACTCAATTGATAATACTTGATTGATAAAGTGCACTGTTACACGATAATAGGAGAAAAAAAAAATCGAGAAAGACAAGTTTTTTTCGGGGATATGTAAGGAATAATGATAACGATCGGACTGTGCCTGACATTTTTTTCAGAGACGTATCGGGGCATGATAAAAGTTAATGTTACCCCGTTAAGCGCTGGTCGAGAAAAGGGAACAGAATCTACTGTAATTAAGGTGATCGATCGTGCGTGTTGCTTTGATTGGGGGGATGGTAAAAGGAACAGATTAATCAGCGGCGATTACCGTATCACTGCGCGCGGGTAAACGTATTTAACGAGTATCTCGACAAATTTATATCGCGACTGCTAGGCTACGGCGACGACGTATGCGTTAACGACGTTTTTTTATAAAAGTTGACAACTTGACGAAGGTGGTGCTAAGATATCGATAAGTAGTCGATAGTAGTCTCGCAAGTACACTAGATAAGTGTTAAAAGATCGCGACGAGTAACCCATTCTCTTCTCATAATAATAGTTCGATAAATTTTCGATTACATTGTAACCATAAGTGACGCCGATACGTGAGAGCCGATGGGAGAAAATTGCGAAATTAACGGTGGATAGTGATGCGGACCGCGAAGGGGATCGGCGCGGATCTCGAAGGAGCCGCCGTTAATTAAGGAGAACGATTGCGCGTAACGGTATAATTAGAGGGAAGAAGAAATCAAAGCGCCGGGGTACACTGGTGGATAAACCGTATCTCTTCATCGCGACTCGGCTCTAACGAGCGGGGGATAATAAATGGAGGATGTTTATCGTCGCGCGTAAAACGCCGATTACAGACAAAGGCCCCTGTGCTCACGCCGCGCATTTAGCGCTAAACGCGCCCCGTCCTCTGATTCCTTATCGCGCATTAATCGGATGGGCGCGATCTTCGCGCTGGATGACAGAGAACGGGGCAGCTGCGTTTGGCGGTAAACGGTTCCGCGGAGGCAACGAAGAGAAACGAAGACCAGTGCTAAGATTGTTTCTCCACCTCATCTTCCAGCGTTGAACATGCCTTCGAGATGTCTAAAAATTAACAGATGATTTAGAGATTATATCAGAGAGTTTCGTTGAATGTAATTGTCATCAAAGTTTTATGTCGATTTTTAAATTAACTTGTACTGATCCCTGAAGGAAATCAAGAACTATCCGAGCTATCGCTTCTCAAGAGTGGCATCCGGTTGCACGAATGCGGCGGATTCGAAGGATACGTAGGATTAATTGGCGGGTCCGATCGCGCGCGCTGCTTCGTCCCCTTCGTCCCCACCAACTCCTCCTCCTCTTCCTCTCGCGGCGATCCCTTCGAAGGGGTTGCACGCCACGTCGGGTCCTGCGAGCAGAGAGAAGAAAAAAGGAAGCGCACCAGAGGAGGAACGAAAGAAAGGAGCTGCTAATTGACACGGGCGATTGCACGTAACGGTATAATTAGAGAGAAAGAATACGAAGCCCGGGCCGGTGCACCGATGAAACCAATGAACCAGCCACCGCGCGACAAGGAGGGAGGAAAGGAGCGAGAGGCAAGTGAGAGAAAGAGGAAGAGCGCGTTCGCGAGCAGAGCAACGGAGGGAGACGAGAACGGAATGGCAGAAAAGCAGCAGGGGAGAGAAGCAGCCGGCGGCTTTCGTGCGACCATCGAGGGGTTCCCTCTCCAGAGAAAGAACCGCGGGCCTACGATAAGAGAGAGAGAAAAAGGAAGCGAGAAAGAGAGAGAGAGGGAAAGGGGAAAGCAAGAGAGAGAGAGAGAGAGAGAGAACGTGAGAAGGGGTACGCGGAGGAAGCGGTAGCGAAAGACCGAGAGAGACAAGATGAGGGGTGGAGGAGAGAGAGGGAGAGCGAGAAGAGAGGGACCATGGGCTCGTGGACCCTGCCGCGACCATTCTGTACCAACACGCCGCGCCGGTCGGTTTCACAGCGTTCCTCGTGTCCCCCCTCCGGTACCTACCACGAGGAGGTGCAGCCGTTCTCCAGCGAGCGAGGTCGCCTCCCCAGAGGGATAAGAGAACCTGTCCTTGGGAACGAGGAGACGCCGCTAGTACCTTATTCGCGCGATCTCCTCTGTCCTCATCATCCTTCTGGCCGCGAAATGCGAGTCGCGACCCGTGACGACAGGACGCCGCAGGACGGTACTCGGGAAGTGCTCCGGTGAAAGGTGCCGCGAGAGTTCCTTTTTTTTTCGAGAGGGCCCGACCTCACCGGGACCGGAGTAGTCTCTTCTTCTTCTACTACTTCATCATTCGGATGCCGAAGCTTTCACGACGTCGTTCCGCGAAGAATCTCTCACGATCACTCTGTGATCCTGCGCGGTCCTCGACTGGCGATCTTTGACACTCTAAATGAGCGTCGTTGATGGACTCCGAAGGGATTCCACGATCACCTGCAAAACGGTGACAAATTAATTTCCATTCCCGAATTCATGACTCACGGATAGATTCAACCATTTTCGAGGATTTCACTTTCTCAAATCAAAAGACAATCCCGCCTGCGCGAGCGAACTTGAATTCGCGGCTCAACGGTTGTTCAACAAAGATCCGAAAGGGAGCAGATCGAAGAGTAAAGAACTTTCACGCTGCATCCGAAGGCAAGTTGACCGAGGGACCAATAAATGATGCACCTGGGTGACGCGCTCTTGGTTCGACTCGAAGCGTCGTGAGACGACAGGTTTCCAAATAGAACGGGAAGCACCTGCGAGCGCTTCCGCGACGAACAGTGAGACACAGGTTCAACATCTTCGACATACGCCGAGTGGCAATTAACGCGATGCGCTGACGATCGGACGCGCGTCCTCGTGGTTGTACAGACAAACGACTAGAACGAGTGTCCCTCTGGAACGAGGATTTAACGGGGGTCTCACGCAGTTAGCTGCTGGTCGGCGCAGCTCGTTTGCGGGGCTCGCAGTGGCGGCTGCGGAGTTCGGCGGAAATTATTCCGTCAAGATCGCAATCGCGCTCTTGCGCGCGCGCCCGCGAGAGCAGCCCGCCCGGCGATCAGGTTTCGCTGCGAGAAGAAATCTCCTCACTCTTCCAGCGCGCTCGCCGTCGCGCCGCGCCGAAGAAAGATCGCTAAGCACTCACCGTGATCCTCGGGCTCGCTCTCGCGAGAGTCGGGACCGGGAGGACTAATTATGCGAGCTGGTGGGCACTGTGGGCCGCAAAATGAGACGTGAAGCGGCGCCGCGTCGCGTCGCGGGCGGAAGAAGAGGAACGCCCTCGCCCACGGAGAGAAAAGGACTCGCGGCCGCGAAGATCTCCGGCGAGAAGGGAAGGAATCGATCCCCATTGTGATCGGTATTAGCGCGAGCTAGAGCGGAACGAAGCGAGACACCAGCAGTAGCGGGGTCATCCCGCCGTCGCCGAGTCGAGCCGCGCCGAGCGAAGCCGCAATTATCTCTCTTTGGTAGCTAACGACCACGGCTCGTCCCATTCGGTGAGTAATTATTCAATTAAACGGCGACTTCCCGAGAGTCACTGCGTTTCATGTAATTGACAATCCTCCTGCAATCGTCCTGGCGACCACTTCGCTGACCAACCGCATCCCCTCGTTGACTCGCGCTTTGTAGATTCTGGAAAATCCATTTCCTACTTCGGGACTACGTAACGCGCGGCTGCAGGATCTCGCGATTGCTTTTTCTTTTCTTTCTAGGTCTTGGTCGATTTCAAGATTTTTCCAATTATTAATGCGGGCCCTTAGAATATACGGATGGGCAAACCTGAAACAAATGAAAGAGATAAAGCTGTCTGGAAGATTGATTTGACGGAATTACGATCACTGATAACGGTAACGAGTGAAACGGTAACAATAATTATACACACAATTGAAACAAGAAGAAATCAATCTGCGCGGGGCACTGCCTACAATGTAGGTAGTGTCGCGATGAGCGTAATAAACGGCCGCAGGAATGAGCGGGAAGAACGTACGTCTCTGACATAAGCTCCGTTAATTATGCGAGTTAGCGGACACTCGAGTAGCTCTTATGTCATATTTTATCGCGAGTTTCTCGCGATACGCGCTAATTCGATTCTTCTCGCAGGTCGTAGTATAAGAACCCTCGTCAAAGAAACGGCGGACGAGTTCGCGAGGCGCGCGCGCGCGTGGATTCACGCTTATAGAGAGGCCTGCTGTCAGCCGTCGTAACAGGATCTCGTTAGCGGCCAGTCGATACGGTATACGCGACGATGGTGTACGGTGGCGGTCGCGGCTTGATAAAAGCGACGACCGTCGAGATAAGCTTTCATCGGCGTGATCGTTCGGCTGTGCCGCGCGCGATCGGCGCGAGGGATGGATCGATCGATCGGTTGGTCGATCAATGCCGTCTGTCGATCCAAAATCGCGCGTAACTCTGTCACTGTGTTTGCAATTTTTAAACGAAATCTTGTCTAAAATAATCGTTCGAGTACCTCACATGAGGCAAGTCCTAAGTAATTACTATTAATACGGGTCTTAAGCGGATAGCGTACAAAAAATCGTAAACAGCAAACTTGAGCGGTAAAAAAAGTAATCGATCACAATCGATTGGTCTTAAGCCATGAGAAAAATCGTCACCTGTGGTTGGTCAATTTATTCTCTAAAGTACAATCACTGTATTCTTTACGGAAATGTTAGTGGTAATTTAGTTATAAGTATAGCATTGCAATCAATAAAGTTTCGCTGATAATATCAGTTAATAGTAGCGATTATTTCCATTATTGATGCATTTTGCAAACACAGACAATGCCATTAAACGCAAGATGCACTGAAGCTGTTAATTTTGCCGTCACAAACGCAAGAAAGTTGGATTCAGAATAATGCATAACGAATTTGTTTATCACAGACATTTAGCGGTGAAATTTTACTTCCACTGATCGAAATCAATGAGAAATAAGACGAAGCAGTAAAGTGGGAGTGTTATCACTGCAAATCAGTGAATATTCACTGATCATCGAAATAGTCCTTTTACTGAATGAACTAGAAACATTTTTACTGATACACTTTAAGAGAGTGCTTACTGCTCAAGTTTTATTGCTTGTGTTTCTCTGCACTCGATCTTAGAATGCACGCATGAACAAATCTGAAACAAACGAAAGAGACAAAACTGTAGAGGATTGATTTGACAGAGTTACGATTACCGGTAACAGTAACTGGAAAGTTAAATTGGAAATTTATTGGAAAGTCACACGAAATATATAAGTTGTAGGTATTATAATTTATATTTCCGGAGTTGAAACGAGATAATTGGCGTGAGAATTTGTGCTTTCACCAGAAAAAAAGAAGTGTATCGACGAATCCACCCGTGAATACTATCGTTACGCGTCTGCAAGCGTCCTCAGAATCGTCCCGAGACGTCGAACCGAGTCTAGCCGAGGATTTCCGCCTGATAATCGCTGAAGCGGCAATGATTTACCGATGTCTCGGCAGATTAATAGGCAGCCCCCTTTTAACGGCTCACCGCGACTCGCCCGGAGTTCATCTCGCAAATGACCATTCCGTTATGCCTCGACTTTGCTCCACTTTGCGACCGTCACGAACAATAGCCGTGCTCCAGAAGCGTCATTGATCACCTCCGCAGAGATGATTTCTTGCGATCTGTAATTTTTCCTGGAAGAAATCATTGCGAAAGATGCATGTAGATTTTTTTCAAACGCGCCAAGAAATCGATCGGCGTCGGAGGAATGTTTACACAGTTAAACGATGCCATGAGTCTGTCGTTATCAAGTTTACATTTCGTTCTTACGGGGATATTTTTAGAACAGATCAGGTCTTTCTCTTCTTTCCTCGTCGTCGTAAAATCGGCGTAAAAATAGCCGCGGTTTAATCGCATCGTCAATTGATCGCGAAACTAACGCATTCGCGCGCGACGCAGAAATAGGAGAAACTTAATCTCGCTGTGCCGAGATTGTTGTGCTTTATGAAGGCGGTCGTTATCGAGTGAATAATATCGCGTCGAAACGTGGCCGCCGCCGTCCCCTCGACGTCTTTTAAACGAGGTGAAAAGCGCGTTTTAAAACTGTCGCGTTTTACGATCGCGCGCCATTAGCCACGCCGCGCGGAAATATTCGCCGAGTGAAATATTTTACGCGGTGCATCACGGGCGATTACTTTTGCACGAGCCCCGACGGGGCCGTACACACGACGAACGTTGAACTGGCCCCGAAGATGTAATCACCGGAATCATTCTTAGATCGCTTAGGGACGTGAGAGACGCGCGGCGGATAATGACGGCTCGCAATCTGGACTTCGTAATGCGGCATGATCGACAATGAGGCCGAGTACTCCATTACCTTAGATCAGACCAGTTGCGATTATCTTGGACAATTACCCCTCGGTCGTAGGGAGAGAAAAGGACTCGACGTCGACGTTGATAATTTGCGATCCTTCGTGGAGACAATCTTAATTTTCCCCGCTCCATTCCCGAGGATGATCATTGTTCTCGACGCGCGATAGCCAGCACGTTTTACTTTGTCCTTTACACGAGACCGATTCAAGCTGAAATTTAAAAATGTTCTTACAATACTTATAATCACGTCACGACTTGCGACAAGAAAACAAATAAATTTTTTAAAGCACTTCTTTTCTAAAATAAAAATTTTATTATGTGGTTAAAATTATCTCAACGATAAATAATATTTATTTAAATACTCCGTCAGAGCATCAGATTTCCAAACGTATTATAGTTTTCTAGAAAGATACATTGCTAAAAGTTCTGGCAGCAAATAAAAGAAGGGAAAACAATTTTGATTTCAGTAAGATTCTTTTGCATTGAGTAATTGTGGATTTGAGTGGATTAATAAGTGAAAGCTCGATATTAAAAGTGCCGACTTGACGGTGCACCATGTCATCATTAAGTTTGCAAGCTTAAGAATCGTCGAGGCGCGTCGTGATTGCAGTTACATTTATAATAACAATCCTCTCGAGAAGGTACGACGCCGTTTCTGATACTTCCCAATTAAAAGTCCGTTCTCCCGGGATAAATTAGTACGGCTGAATGTTAATAAGATACCTTCACGAAAGCGTCATAAAAGTTATGAGTTACGGCTCGACGGAGTACCGGATACCTACGCACGTACAGTGAGTGTAATCAACGATTACAATGTCCAACGAACACCTTTTGTTGTTTCTCTTGCGCACTCGTAAAAAGAGGCTATCCCTCTTGATGTACGTAATTACTCTTCAGTGTGGCTGCAATTTTTTCGAGGACTCTCCATTCATCTTGGTTGACTCCGTTCATTTGACCGAGCACGTTTTATCGGATGTCATGCTGCACTTTCTCGCTAAAAATATCGAAAATTGCTCATGTAATTAGAAAGTTCCCCGTGAGCGAAACTTACCGATGTAATTAGAATATCATTTCGCTTTACTCGTACTTCTTTTTCACGTTAATGCGTTCTGTATTTTACCACGAAGGAAGAAATACTAATGTACCGCGTATTAAGTAAGCGCAATCTTATTTAAACTTAAAAGTAAGCCTTATCTTATTTAAGACTCTTCATAGCTGATCTTCGTACTGCTAAGCAGAACGACTTTTTTACCGAATAGCCCGTTTTCCTGGAGTCAACTGGTTCTTCTGCTTGGCTCTATGATTGTTCTAGTAAGTCGTATTCCCGTACAGGCCGTATTGACAATCGTCGACCGGTCCCACTGTACACGCTCCCCGTGCTTCTCCTCGTCCAGGTTCAGATCTCCCATCTTTTCTGCTTTCCTCCTGCCTTCTTCTCCTCCTTCCTTCTCTCTTTCTCATCTCGCTCCTTCCTCCCTTTCTCGCCATTCGCGGTGCTCCTTCGGCATCCCACCTTCTTCTCTCTGTCTCTCTTTCCTTTCTCGTCGCCCTTCCGGCCTCGTAGACAGGCTCTCGTTTTCTTCTGCGTACGTGCATCTCGAGTGTGTGTACACCGTCCTTAGCTTCCAGCTTCGTTAAGAGGGCTCGAGTCGTCGTCTTGGCACTCTTCGTGAAAATCTAGAGCCGATTCCCCGGGGGACCGTTCGACGCGACTCGAGTTCTTGAACGCTCCTCTCACGCGCTCTCTTATCTAGTGAATACAATTAACGACCTAGCTGTATCGACGACCCTAATCCGCGTTCATGTCCCTTAGATTCTTAAATGCCTATGCAAATTTTACTGTTTCTCCCGCTCTCTTCTCTCCCTTTGCTGCCGTGCTACTTCCCGCGATTCCTCCTGCATTCAGTAGTCCGCTTGTTTTTCTCTACCTTTTCGCGAAGAATTCGCCGCGTTGATATATCGCCGGCGCGGCTGACCGAAGAGGTAAATCATCGCTTCGAACGTTTTAATCGCCTCCTCGTTATGATCATTTTACGATTCGACAGGTAGCGCGCTACCGGCTCCTGTCACAGGGATTATGTAAGCTCGGGTAGCCAAGAGAAGTGCATCGTTATATATATGGATCTAATATCAAATATCTCTCCTGTTGCCTCTCCTCTTCCTTGGCTTCTTTCTTTCGCCCCAGTGCCTATTAGAACTATATGCGTGCGCCCGCGCGCGTATGATACAGCCATACGGAATTGGCAATCGGCTCATTCCGTAACAGACGTGGTGGCGCTTATTGCGCTCTATATCGTCTGGTCATGTCTTGTTCAGCGCGAGCCAGCGAGATACTTTATCGCTGATAATTCGAGCCCGGCCCGCGCGGGACGTGTATGCCCGAAGTGCGCCGTTTACATTCCCGCCGTGATCACAAATGCATTTTATACGCCAGCTAATATCGTCGGCCGATCGCGTGGGCTAGATAGACGACGACGGTACTATATAAGCGTACGCGTGTGTATACACGTGTACGTGTGTATACCAGTTCCGCAGCAGGGACGTAGCCGCCGTATTGTAGTGCTACTTAGCGTTTCACAGAAGCCGCCTCTTTCTGGTCATGCGAGGAATTCTGCAGAGAAAAGAAAATATGCCAAAAAGACATGTTTTTGTACTATTCTTTTTTTTAATTAAATTTTTATTGTAGAAATTTTTCTATCTTATTTATTTGATTCGAATCCACCTGAATTATTTGACCGATGATACTGTTCTTCGGTGAACCATTATTCGAGGAGTTCGATAGTCTTGGTCTCTTTGACGTCTCGTTATGATGGAATGCACGATATTGACGAGAACAAGGGAAGAAAGCTCCATCGATGAACTTCGCGCGAGGATTCGCGCGTTTCAACTACGTCACTGTTCCGTGGGTAGCAAGCGGGCAGCTTCTCCATAGACTGGCCTCGGAACGGAAAGACACCCGAGTCCAGGACGATTATGGTACATCGGTTCGACATTACACCTTGCGAGTGCCTGACGCGAGCGCGAGCGGCTCTTCGCTCTCGCGTTGCACAAACTGTTGATACAAGCGCGGTCCACTTACAATTTACAGAGTCCATCACTTAGCCCGTTGTTGTTCGCGTCGCGTCTGCAGCCGAGCACGAGTCCTATCCAGCCGCTGAGGAGAAGTTGCGATGAACATCGTCTATTGAATAGCGCGGACTTCCTTCGGCTATCCTTCGTGTATATTGTCGACCCCGCGGGATCGAATCGCTTGCTCGCAGTCCTGTATTTCAATTACGAAATATATTGTCAATGAGTAGGCAACTTAATCTAGCTTTGAGTTCGCTGAGATTAATCTCGTAAAAAATGGATACCTGTTTCTTCGAGTCTTCAGCGCTGTTCAAGCTGTCATATCGTATTTGTATGTAAGTTCGGCTCAGATGCGAAGTTTACACGCGACTCTCCGACTTACTTCGGGACACACGAATATGAATATGGATCGCAGCGTTCGAATTCCGGAAGATCGCTCGCGGCGGATGCAGTCGAGCGCGACGTTCCGTTCGATTAAAAGCCGATGTTTCCTCGGTCGCGTGGATCGCGGCCGTGATGCATCGATCTGACCTTGATTTCACCGTTGCGGTCGCTGTTCCTTTTCGGCCGGCGATCGCAAACTCAATTTACCAGCCCCGACGCGGCGGTTCTGCTAATGAAGCAATTAATAGGCGCACCCGCCGCGCCGCCTTACAAGGGAAGGCAGGCGATCACAATCTTCAAATACTCGTAACGAAATCGTCCTTTCTTCTGATGCTTGCAGGGGGAGAAAGATGACGATGACGCGCGGCAACAGTCCACTCGTGGCCCTGCGATCGCTGTTGGTCGTCGCCGTGGTCGCCGCCTCAACGGTACCGGGAACCTGGATGTGAGTATCTTTCGTGTCGTACGCGGCGGATTTTTCCTTTTTTTCCAGCCGACCGATCGCGCGTTAAAGGTGTTAACCGGTTTCACGCGCGTATTTATAGTTAGACGGGACGCTGCTATTTTTTTCATTAGGCCTCGCGACTCTTAAAATAAGCCGGAGTCGAAGGACAAGAGGTGCCCTACATATCGCCTGATTGAAGGGTGAACTAACGGCCAGTGGGGTGTTGCCGCCACTGTTGCTCCCACTGTGGAAACCTGATTATCCGAACGTCGTTCTCTCATCGAGCCTTCGATTACCCGAGCGCCTTCCCTCCGGTATAATATCGGATAACCGAGATCCTATTGATCGTATGAATGGAAAATACTACTTTACTCCTGGTAGCCGCAACCTCTCTCACTCTGAGTCCCCGATTACGCCTGCAGATCGCGGGGTATCGCTTCGCACGGGTATCGATCGATCGATTAAATTAATACACTCGCGAAAAAACGCATCGAGACACGATTTCTCACGCGACTCTTTAATTTATGGACCTTTGTGCTCGCGCAAATCAGAAGTGGCACTGCGCATCGTGGGAACCCCGAGGCGACAAGAATTCTCTCCGTGCCCCCGAAATCTCGCCGTGAGCTCGTTCCCGTCTCGTACCCTCGCCTCGAATCGGGAGTGTGTCTAATCTCTGAATTGCCATTCTCGCCCCTCAGTGTTCTATCTTGCGTGAGCATGACCAATCCATCGAATCATCCTGGCCGCCCGCGCTCTTTTGTGAGCGCCAGATCGCCCCGGACTTTCTTTGCGTCGAATTCACCTTTGTCGTATCCCGCGAGGAAATCCTCACCGCGCTTTTGATCCGTCGCTCGCTCATCGCTGGTAAGCCTCCGTGAAGTTACTCCGGTTTCCGTTCTTCTTCATGTCATGGATCTCGTATATCAAGGCAGTAAATCCAAAATCAGCCGATTCCGTTCATCCTCTTATTCATTGCTTGCGATTCTTCCGTCACTTAATGAACCGTCACTGATTTATTATAAGACACGCTTGGCTATTCCGCTTGGCTCTTCCTATCGCCTGCAATTTTTCAGTCGCTTAATTAACACTGTCACATAACTTAATTACACGACCCGCTCTTCTATATGTATGGGCGAGACTAAGCCGCCTTCGGCTGATCGCCTCGGGACACCCCGTATATAAACGCGCGCCGACGCTGCGGATGTAGCTGCAATCTCTTAGGAGACACGGGGCATTACTTTTCGGAGCCGCGGCCCACGACGCGACGATGGTGTGCCCCGCTCGCGAACGCTGCGTGGGCCGTACCCCGTCGAAATATTATCGTTCTTTTCCCCCCGTTCACGATTGTCCGCGCCATTGTTTTAGGGGTGTGTAAAGCCGATGATATATCGCCCGTGGAGCGTGTTCCGGAATATTAATGTCGTCTATTACAGACTCCCTAGACGCTCGCGCACGGCTTTTACGACTCTTCGCTCGATCGCGGCAACGCTCGGCGACGATATCGCGACAAGATCAAAACATCGGGACTTCACTCGCCGACAGGGAAAAACATCCCGGCGAGTGCGTCGGCTTTTTCTCATTTGGGCTCAGCGACTACGCTCGCGAACTGCGTAAAACTATGAGACGTGTGATTGTTTTCGTTAATAAAGGAGTGAAAGACCTCTCCTCAGAGAGGGTTTACGGACTAAAATCTTCCCTTTGCAATAACTTTTCAACTATTTGACGTATCAAAGGAAGCGTCGGAGTTTAGATTATCTCCAAACGATTGTTTCTTCCAGTTATCGCGGGATCGAAACGCGCGCTTTGTCTACTAGAATGTATTTCTGTAGGAGTCACGGATGAGCACATTTTCCATTGTTGTTCCCCAGACGTTTTTAAGTAATGCATACTGTTATGATACGGCTCAAACGGTCGCACGACCGACAACCCCGCTAAGTATTCACCTGAGTCACGCTCGGACAGACCGTCCAGGTTGTATCGAGTCACCGTGCAGGTTGTCGCGGCTTACTGCGTAAATTGTGGCCAGACGGGTGCGTTCGGCTCGCTCGGACGCGGAATATAATTAACAAGCTTATCTCTCCAGACTGCCTTAAATCCAGATTTTTCAGACGTAAAGATTGCGTGTTTCAACATGGAAAACTGCGTAACGTGACATTTCTATTTGTCAGATATGAATTTAAGCGTAGAAACTAACTCCTTTATCGAAGTCGCTGTGATCGGAAACCGCATAAGTTACAGTCGTTAAGATTCGCTCAATCGTCCCGATATGCTGGCGGAGCGAATCGCTGACAATTTCTCGGGGATTCTCCTCGAAGTTCAGACGGGCTCGCGGGAATAAACGCGGCGACGCGATTTGCGACGCGGAGAACGAGCGGCGCGAGCGCGACGACGCTATAGGAACCCTTGCTCGGCGTCGGTTGCCCGTTTCGAATTTCAGATTGCCGGGCCCCTCTTTCAGCCGCCCCCGTCCCCCAGCTTCTGTCTTTGACGGTGCCGTTCCATCATCTCGCTCGGTTGACTCACAAATGTGCCATTAAGGATCCGGCGCGGAGAAAATCCGAGGGCCGCTCCTCGCCCACGGACGCGGGCCGTCGCGCCGCCCTGCGCCGAATTTATATAATCGGCGTAACAAATCTCCAGGAGTTAGGGGGCCCCGTCGCGGCACCGGCGTGGTCTCGCTCTCGATGCCTGTCGGAATGATGCACGCCTCCGTGACCCATAGTTAGCTACGTTCTTTTCTCTACACGCGGATACCTGAGGAAAAGCGGCGAACAATAAACGAACTGGCGGATAATCTTGGAAATTGCCGCGGTCTTCGGTATCGAAGACAGAATGGTTAATCAAGTTTTAAATGTATTTACGAAGTCACGATGTTAAATCATAATCGCTCTTCTGTAACGAATTATGTTTTACTCCCCGAACAGGCGGGACCTCCGTCAGTGAAAAGATTCATATTAGTTACGATGTTGCAGTTAAGATCTTTGAATTATAGTTTTTTACTACTTTATGTACGACAGAAACTTGGGTCTACGACATTTTCCGCAATTGGAAGAGGCACAGACGATGGAGACATACGACGCGGGTGCTTCTACGATTTGCGGCGGTCTGAAGGGCTTGTCTCAGGGCCAAGGGAAGCTCTGCCAGCTGTCGGTAGATCACATGTCCAGTGTAGCTAAGGGCGCGAAGTTTGGCGTCCTGGAGTGTCAGCATCAATTCAGGGATAGACGATGGAACTGCTCCACCGTGCACGACGAGACTGTGTTTGGTCCTATGCTCCGAATAGGTATCTTGATTTGTTTGATTTACAGGAGCCCTAGAGTATTAGAACAAAATATCTGTACTAAAATAAATTTTAGAATATGGCTAATTTGTAATTTTACAAAATGATAATTAATGTAAAGGTTCGCCTAAAAAAGATATGCATTTAAGAAAGAGAATTGTCAGATAAAATTTTTGTTCTTATACTTACTTTTCTGTTACGTCTTATGAAATAGATGGAAAATTAGACGTATGTGCATATTGCAGCGAGCAGAGAAACCGCGTTTGTTCACGCGATTACTGCCGCCGGAGTGGTCTACTCCATCAGTCGTTCCTGCCGCGACGGTCAGTTGTCATCGTGTGGCTGTTCCAGGAGTAGCAGACCCAGAGATCTAAATCGAGACTGGATCTGGGGTGGATGCGGGGACAACCTGGAGTATGGCTACAAGTAAGCGGCTTACAGAGTTATAGTAATTGAAGCAATCGAGTTGCCAATAACAATTGGACATTCGAGAGTGAACAGCCACATACTCACTTTTGCAAATGCTGCCGAGAAATCAGAAACCGCAAATAAAACATCTCGAAATCGAATTTCATCAATCATTTGGCTTTTCATTCTGCCGAAACTTTAAACGATGAAGTCGTTTTCACGTGCGTGCGTGTGCAAGCGCATAGCTGTATCCGCGATAGATTACTGTAGCAACAAAACGCGTTCAGGATTCAACTGTTCTCCGGTCGAAATTCAATCTCGCGGTCAATACCGGAACCGCTGAATCAGTTTTGCACATTTCACCGTATGCATCATCTAGATAGACTTGGAACTTTTGCTTCTACATCAATCGATGCACCGCTATTCATCGAATATCGGGGACTAGTTATATGCAGTTTAATTAAATGGATATCGAAATCGCAACGAGTGTGCACACAAATGCGTCGTTGTTTTACGTACATTTTAGGTTCACGCAGGCGTTCGTGGACGTGCGGGAGCGCGAACGCAGCTTTAAGAGGGGCAGCCGGGAACAGGGCAGGAGTCTGATGAATCTGCACAACAATGAGGCCGGTCGCAGGGTAAAGTTCGTTCTTTTTTTAGCGTCCGCACGAGAAATGTCCCTTAAATGTCGCGTCATAGACGTGTGTATCGATTTTTTGCGATTTAACGCAAATTCGCTGAACGCCGCGCCGTCACGAAACTAATGCATGACGCTCATCCATCTTTACAGGCCGTAATCAAAAGGTCCAAGGTGACGTGCAAATGTCACGGCGTTTCCGGAAGCTGCAGCCTCATCACCTGCTGGCAACAGCTCGCCTCATTTCGTGAAATCGGTAGGCTTCGTTAATGTCAGGAACTTTCTCGCTTCGACAACGCAAAAGTCTAAAAAAAAATATACAAAACGAACTGATTTTGGTGTCTCTCTTAGAAATTTTAGTAACAATAATTTAATGAATTAATTTTATTAATAAAATATTAATTGAATCTCCTTCAAATAAAATGATACGATTTTAGAACGTTCTCTTCTTTGATTATTTTTACGCGTAGCATTTGGATGTCTATGAAACATTCCTTAGACATTTGTGTTGTTCTGGGAGTATTGGTACAAGTAACAACGTTTTCGTTATGTTCAGGCGACTTTCTGTTGGACAAATACGACGGTGCGACAGAGGTCAGGGTCAATCGGCGCGGCCGCTTGTCAATGCGCGATCCGAGATTTTCCGTGCCTACTGCCAACGACCTCGTCTATCTAGACGACTCGCCGAACTATTGTCTTCCAAACGACACTCTGGGATCACTAGGTACCTCTATTGGAGAAGGACATTATAAAGATGTTACGTTTTTAATAGAATCTCTTTCTTTTCGCTTATCCGGATAAGAGTAATCGGATAAATGAAAGGAGAAGGAATATATTTGTAAGAATTGTATGAAGGAATGGAACCAAGCCTGTTTCGATAGTTACAAGATCGCTTCACTGGTTTCGTTATTAGAACTTCCAGAAAAATCTTTATTTCAAGTTCAGTATATTATTGTCTGTAATTTGTCGTCGCATCGCTCGCTTGATGATGTAAAATCGCTTTCTTTCTTAACAGGTACACAGGGCAGAGTGTGCAACAGAACGTCGTCCGGCATGGACGGCTGCAATCTCCTCTGCTGCGGCAGAGGTTACAACACGCAGAAGTCGACCATCAGGGAAAGATGCGAGTGTAAGTTTCACTGGTGTTGCTACGTCGAGTGCAAGACCTGCGTGAAGAATGTCGACATCCACACCTGCAAGTAGAGTAAATAGCGCTGCTATTTATTTTTTATAAACTATTTTTCACCGGAGCTCACTCTCGCATTATTGACGATGTTATACGTGTAATTAAGCGGCACGACGTGTCCCGGTGACAGTGGCATTATCGTCTCACAGCCAGTGAATCCTGTTGCGATACACAAAGATACGTCGTGTACTCCGATCTCTAATAATTATCCATCCTCGACGAAAAATCCGACTACGCATTAAACTTGACTTCTTCAGAATGTATTACGTGTAGATTTCTATGCAATGTTAGATTGTCTGTATCCCGTCGAACGTCAGTTTGAACATCTACATTCGCAAGTCAGAATCGATTTCACTGAGACAGCATGAATTATTTGCGGCCTACAAAAAAAGAAAACTTAAACGAAATAAGAAATTTCTATTGCGTGTATTCGTATAAATTAAGCGCTTCGCGAATGTCTCACCATTATTGAATTAACGCGATTTTCTACTGAAGCTGAGATAATTTAACTCTGCTTCCTGTGAAAATATCTTGCGTTAAATGAACGACGTTACAATAGCTAGTTAAACGATTTTTAGTACATATGATAACGCTAATGCGTTGAAGCGGATAATATCCATGCCGTTTTAGGAACGTATCCTGCAAACAGGATCTTTTTAACATGGATGAATATTTATTAGCGACTCGATTATGCTGTGTAATACACGGATAAGTTATTTTAAATTTTTTATAGTAACGTTTTACGACACACACATAGCCATAGATGTAAATTATTCGAAGTGTTCATTGTATTTCTATTTATTTGCATTGAGCGAGCAATTTAGTCTAGTGACCCGCATAACGATGAGCGCATAAAGGTGAGCGACACTGAGATACATTGGACCGATACTTAAGAATACCGCAACTGAAGTATCAATTATATCTTAATATAGGATATATCGTTATTTCACAAGTGTCGGTAATATAAAAGGAAAAAAAGATTTCAGATAACTTGAGGAGATCTGAAGTTATTTTTTTAATTTACATATACAGGATGAAACAGGAGTACCTCTGACAATTGCACAGGCTTGTAAGAGAGTATACAAGCTGTATTCTCATATATACTATATATTAATATTTCTTAAATTCTCGGTTCCTTGTGACAAATTCACTAAATCTTCAGAATTATTTCTGTATCAACCTATATATGTACATATATATATACGTAATTTAAATTTTTTATCTTTAGTCATTATGGTAAATCACTTAACAACATTCCACTTGTATCACAGATTTATCTGATGGAATGTATTTGCCTTGGATAATAAGATAATATGTAAGTCAGCTAGCATTGTATTTCCTGTATGCTAAATGTTTATTTAATAGCAATACAATTATTTATTTTTACTCCTAGATACTGTAATGTACAAAACTTGACATTTCACAGTGGACAGATAGTGGAATAATAAAATATCGTACACTGATCACTAAGTCTGTTCAATTCAATTCTTACAAGAAACACTATCAGAGTTGTATGCTGTATGTACCATACACACTTTGTCTCTTGTTGTTCTTATTTACAAAATATACAAAAGATGATACAAACTATTCAATGATTTCCCAAGGCTTCTCTGGACGATCTTTGGTAAAAGAATAAGGATACTTATATCTTGGTAGCTCATACAAAATAATTCCACAGTTCTGCATTTCCTTAATTAACAAATCAAATTTATCTCCACTTGGTGATTTATCAACATCCATTTCACAAATACCACTTTCCAGACACCGTTGAGCTAATACACGTCCTACATTGATATAAGCTGCACTATCAGTACACCTAAAACATTGATAACATATATAATAGATTATACAAATTATGTAAGAATAATAATAGTCTATCTATATCTAAGTGAGAGAATCTTTGTACCGATATAACTGCCTTTTCAATGCCCATTCTGCGCTACAAGCTGTAATGACCGGCCCATTTTCGAAATGGTGTACTTCCGCGACGATATAGCGAGGCTTCTTGATTACGAACACCCTGTAAATTGGATGATACATGACATTAAAAAAGAAATTATTTAGCAAAGAAACATATAACCTAAGTCATTGCATTGTCGTTTTGTCAGTTGCAATATAGAAATTTGGTTAATTTACTTATGCCAAAACGAGTGGCCGGGTTTGTCGAGTAAATATCCAACAGGTTTCCTCGCTATTCTCAGCCTCTCCAAATTTCGCGGATTTCGATTCACGATTTCCGTACAAGTCTCGATTAACTCCGCGTTGCTGTGAATCTCCCTGTGCATACGAAACGCACGAGCCATTTGTATGCGAGTGTTAACCAGGAACATTATCGTATAAATTATTACAACTCTACACAGAATTGTAATGCAACAGCAACAAATAATACAGAATAATACTCGTGTTTTAAATACAGTAATCACAACCTCAATTTTTCGGTAAAAAAAGGTGGCGGCTCATAACGGGAAATTTGGAACTAATTTATAGAAATAACGGGTCCAAAGAATATATTAGACCTATTATTTCTGTAAAGCCAGCAACACACGATGCTTGTTTTCGTACTGGATTGCTTGCTGGATGGAAATACCCTATTTTGATTGGTGCATTTCTGAAAATGGATGGAAATGAACCAATCAAAAACAGAGTATTTTCATCCAGCAAGCAATTCAGCATGCCCTTACGAAAAAAATACAAAAAAAACCCTCAATTTTGAGTGTTAACATTCAAATTTAATAGCATGTTTGATTGGCTCTGGGTTAACCTATTCTGGATTATTCAGACTACGTTTATTGATCGAACAAATACTTAAAAGCTTTATGATTGGCTAGTAGAGACTTATGACGTTATGGCCGGTATTCATAGTCCGATTTTAAGCCAACAGCACACGATTTTCATGTTGGATTACTTGCTGGATGGAAATACTCTGTTCTGATTGGTGCATTTCCATCCATTTTCAGGAATGTACCAATTAGAACAGCGTATTTTCATTCAGCAATCAAGCACGAAAACAAGCATCGTGTGCTGCTGGCATTAAATATAAAGCTTTGATGCTTGTTTTCATGCTGGATTACTTGTTAGATGGAAATACTCTGTTCTGATTGGTGCATTTCTGAAAACGGACCAATCAGAATAGAGTATTTCCATCCAACAAACAATCCAGCACGAAAACAAGCATCGTGTGCCGCTGGCTTAAGATCATCTTAAGTACTAGAGAACCTCTAGTACAGAGAATCGCCAATTTGGTCATGTCACCAGCTATTCAGCTACTCTGCAATTGGCTGGCATAAACATGTATTAGTTCCAAAGTCTACGCTACAAGCCACCACTTTTCTTACTGAAGATTCAGGTCGTAATACAACTCAACGATTAGTTTGATTCTTTTTTATTTTAATTTCTATTTTTATTTTAGTTTTTTTATTTTAAAATTTTACGATTCAAATTTTTTTAAAAGGTTGTAAGAAATAATAAAGCTTTTCATTGAAATGTTCTATGTATATGTTTAAAGAATATAATAAATTGTTGCGACTGCAAGTTCAGTTGAAGAAAAATCTAACCTAACCATAACTACTTTCTTGTAGACCTTTTGTTATCTTTATTGTGAAATAAAATTGAATAAAGATGTGACAAAGTAAATGTGTGTGATTATATCTGAAAGTATTTAGATTATATACTACTTATAGGAATTTAAAACAATACGTAATAATTTTGCCAAGGAGAATAGTGAACGACGGAATTGTTCTATCATTTCCAGCGCAAAGATGAATAATTTAATTCCAAGAGTGAAACGTTACACTTCTAATGCTACATTAGCGTGGGAAGCGTTAAACGGCGTATTTGCTGTTTATAAACCACCTGTGGTCACGTATTGCAATACACGAGACACTATAATTCTTCGTCTTTGTAAAGGTTAGCATTATTTCATATAAGTTTTGTTAAATATCTTTTGTTTAGTTTCTATGGGATAGTTAAAAAATAATTTTGTTACTCTTTCTTTTGAAAGTTGTCAAATGACAACTCTTAAAAGCCACATTTAATTTTCAGATTTGAACAATATGCATGTACGCAAACCAATTAAACATGTAACCATAGAAGGCAGTACAATAGAAAACATGAATGTGGTTCTTAAGCCGAGCTATGCAGATCATATATTAGTGGTAGGACCACGATATCAAAATAAGGACATTAAAATAACATGTGCTAATTACCTGGCCAAGGATATATCAGGACTTATGATATGTGGTATTAATAGAGGTAGTAAAAATATTCAACAATTGAATCTTTCTCAACTTCCAAGTAGTTATAGAATTAAGGGTTTGTTGGGACAAGCAACAGATAATTACTTTTACACTGGAAGAATTGTCGAGAAGGCTACATATAAATTTGTGAAGCGAAAAATAATTGATCAATTGTGTGCCTCTATGCAGGCAGCTCATCAGAAAACAATGTTTGAGTATGTTATCTGATATATAATTTACCTTTATTTAATACTTTATTTAATACTCAAAGTTACAATTAATATTTATTCCTTTTGATATGATTAGATTGTGTGGAGTTGATATACAAAGTCAAGCTGCATTTGAGTTAGCTGCACAAGGTTTAGTGAGGCCAATTGACAAAAAAATCCCAATGATATATAGCATAAAATGCATAGATTTTACACCTCCTGAGTTCACATTAGGTAAGTGTTATAATTTCTATGAAATACAAATTACCAATTGTCATTTCAATGAAACATAATTGCTACAATTATAATGCTTATACTTTCTACATATCTTTTCAGAAGTCGTCAGCATAAATGAGGACGACATGTACTTAAAATCTCTGATTCATGATCTGGGGATGCAGCTTCATAGTGTGGCTACATGCACTCAAATACAATGTTTTCGATATGCTTTATTTGATTTGAATCTGGCTCTATTGAAAAAACATTGGAGTCTACAAAATATTTTAGATAATATCGAACAATGTCATGATATATTTAGTAAAAACCAAATGTTATTGAAACAAAACAATCCGATATTAACGGAATAAAATAGCTAATTATAATTATTTTAATGCTGTATAAATATACAATTGTATAAAATAATCATACATATTATATTAAGTGCCATGTTAGCCATATTTGAATGAGTTTTTATAGGAATCTAATCACCAGTTTGTGTATGACAGTTTGGTTTATCAGTTAGAAATAGTTTTATTGTATATTTCTGTAGACACAATATATTATAATCTGACTCTGTATACGTATACTTGACGATCAAAGAACTCAAATACGATAAGGTTAATCTTTGAATTCAGCATGGCATTTAATATATGGCGTATATATTGTCAATAAAAGGAACTAAAAATAGAGAATACCCAGCATCACCATATATACCCAGAATCACCTCCATAACGTTAGATCCGTCATAGTAGCACATACGGA